TCCCACTGTCTACTTTGAATATATGGCCAACATAACTTGGGGACCTCCCTGTGGGACCAACCTCTTGAAGGTTCTACTCTCTCTCCCTCTTCCAGTATACTATGAGTATGGATAAAGATTTTACCATATGACCTTAGACAGCTTTTAAGTTCCAAACTATAGAAATGATTCCTCAGCTTCTGTCTAATGAAATTCAGAGGATGAGCTTTCTTAGGACAGTTATTACTTTTTAAAAACCTGGGCTTCACATCCAGATCGAATGTGGAATATTGATGTATCTCTTGTGGCCATGGCCTGGAGTCCTGTGTTTGGACTGCCACACAGCTGTGGCTATAATATTAATGGTATAAATAACAGTGGTAGTAGATGATCTCAGCTGCTTACACTTTGTCAGATCTGGTCTAGAACTTCATCTGTATTTCCAAATTTAATTGGCAAATAAAATGGTTTTACTCTCACATTACTGCAGGGCCTAGTGGGGAAAAACAAATAGGAAATGCTGAGTCAGGCCTGGGGGAAACTGTGTTCAGGGTAGGCATGAACTCACAGGTTGGTCAGAAAACAGAATATGATAATGTAGGGAAACTCTGGGGACAGAGCCCTCGATACCAGCTCCTTTGCCTTGCTCATATGGTGAGAATTTTTAGCAGAACCACTGCATTGTTATTATGAGATAATTAAATATATATAAACACATAATACATTCAAATTCACATACCATTTGTGTATTTGATTTTGTATTTGTTTGAACTGATATATTTAAGCTACATTTACAGAAAAGATGAACTATATCCATTATAACAAATAAATACAGCCATAATAGAGTAGGTCTTCTCACTAGCTATCTTCTGAAGAAGGTACTTTGTGACAGAAACCACAAACAGGGCACACATTGGAGAAGAAAATAAAAGTGAGGCATGTGTTGGTCTTTTGTTTGGGATAGAATGTTTGGATATTTGGCTAGAAGAAGTGGAAGAAGAGTGGCTTAGGAGATAGACCCCAGTGATGGATACAATAGAAAAACAAACCCCGCCTAGAGAAAAAGCACAAAGCAAAGAAGTGGGAGAAGATGAGGATGGAAAGTCCAGGGTGAAGCATCAGGATGCTGTGATTGGCTTGTTGTAGGGATGGAGAGGCTATTTATCAAATGCTGCAGTTTGAGGTTATTAAGGTGCCACTCTTGTGAAGGGATACATCAGGCTTTAGAGACTATGAGGAGCTTGACTTGGCATACATTGAGTTTCAGATGCTTTCTGACCATCCCTGGAGAAGTGAACAATAGCTGATAGATTTGTGATCCTATAGTCAAGATCTTAAATACAATATGGTTGGGGCCAGGAGAGTCTTCAGGTCTCACAGTGGCCTGAATTGACTGCAGAATAGATGAGACCAGAGTCTCAAGGATGTTCCAAATGATGGGTGATCAGATTCTCAGAGGATGCCCAGAAAGGTGGATGATGTCCAGAGGGTAACAGCACCGGTACGTGCCCATGGTGGTCAGATGGAAACAGTTGTTACTTTGAAAAGAGGGCAAAGTTCTGACTTTTTCACAAGTGGTGTCAGGGGAAGCAGTGCTTTAGAAAAGTCGAGAGCGGAGTAGAGAGCAGCAGCAAATGCCCCAGATAGTCACGTGGAGCAATGGAAACATTTGGTAATAAGTTTTTCTTAAAATGAGATATTACTTTGAAAAGAGGGCAAAGCTCTAAATTTTTCATAACTGCAGCCCTGGAATCTGTTATTGCAAGAATAGACATATTTCAAGAAAAGTGAAATTAAGCCAAAGGCATGGTGATTTCCATGTCTCACTTTTGGTCCAAGAATGTGGAGAGTTTGTTTGTTTTGTTTCTTCTTCTGAATTTTCCAAAATAAGCCATCAAGCCAAGACTAACTTATTAACTGCCCAGGATTAGGTCTCTTCACATTTTATTTACATCAGGCATGTTCAAAAAATATAAAGGTATTAAAATAATATTTAGTATGATAGGAAAATAAAATGTGTTATAATTCTAGCCGCTCGAATTGTGCAGGCAAATCCATGCAGGCTGTCTGCCCGCCCGCCCTTTTGCTCATCTCCCCTGGGTGAAGCAGCTAGTGTGAGGAGGCTTCTTTGCCCTTGACAGGTCGGTTTCCACGCATAAATCCAGCACTTAAGGATGTCAGGGAGGAGGGACCTCCTAGGGCTCTGCTTTGCACACTGTAAAGTGAGCACGGAAAACATCAGAGGATGCTCCAGGTAGCATGAAGTGTGTTTTGCCAAACTTGTATTTCATTTTTGTATTTCTGTAACAGTTGGGAGGGTCTAAATACCGAGGGGGGAGAACTAGATCATGATTCTGTTTGTTTCTTTAGTGTGATTCTACTTAAAACATGTCCACGAATACTGCTCTCCACAGACCTCCTTCCTAGTCTAAATATCTCTCCTCTTTGCTACTGACAAAGTATGTTTTTGCTGAAGGAAATGTTTCTGAAATAGCAAACTGAAGTGGCACGTATAAAAACTATGACAGAGTGACACTAACAACCAGCGAGCTGTTTCTGTAATTTATGAAGAAAAGTTCAAGTACACTACATATTAACAAACAACAGAGAAATCCTTTTGAAGCCCATGTAAATAAGCAACCATATCAAGAAGAAATAAGGCTTTTTTTTTTTTTAACAGCAGCAGTATTGTGGTACATGTATTTCACGGTTGGCAATTAAATAGATGTGGTAAGTCTCTACCCTCACCACATAAAAAGACTTGCTGGCAGGGTTTTGTGGCAAGTCAGGGTGTTTTCATTGGCGTGAAGTCTCTAGGGCAGTGGTTCTCAACCTGTAGGTCGAGACCCTTTGGGTTGAATGGCCCTTTCATGGAGGTTGCTTATTCGATATCCTGCATACCAGATATTTACATCACGATTCATCACAGAAGCAAAATTACAGTTATGAAGTAGCAACAAAATAATTTTATGGTTGGGGTCACCACAGCATGAGGAACTGTATTAAAGAGTCACAGGATTAGGAAGGCTGAGAACCATCGCTCTCGGGTCTCTCTCTGTACGTCTTAGACTGCTGTTCTGTCTTAGAAACAGCTGTTTGAACTGCCCTTGCTGATCAGTCCTGTTCTGGATATCGAAGTGTTAGCTTCTTCCAGGACATTTACTGGCAGAATCCTTGTGAACAATTTGCTCTAAAACTAAGAGCACATGGGTTAGTTGTTTCTTTGTCTTACTTATTTGTAAACTGTTTTTAAATTCTTGTATATATGAAAACTTTCTTAGATATTAGGAGGTATCAAACAAGGATAAGGTAAGGAAGGAAACCAGCCTGAATGACCTAACCGGAAGTGTGTGGGCATTGATTTCATTTCTCCATCTCTTAGCTGTACAGTCTCCTGCCTTTTTCCCACTATCAATCAGCAGAACAATGGAGAGGCCAAGGATGCCATCCTTTCCTCATTTTCAGGCCCTCTTCCCTTCCATCTCTAAAAAGGTAGAAAGTGGGTGGTGTGGGGGTGGAGCTAATAATGTGGGCGGAGCTAGTGAAGTGGTGGAGCTGCTCTGCAGCCTCTGCTCAGCTGGTTGGCCTGTGAGGAGTGCGGAATTTGCTTCCTACCCCTCTATCCCAGCTTCCTTCTCTGCTTGGTGTATAGAGATGGTGTGATGGTGGCGAAGTGAGAGAGAAGATTTGTATTGTTATTGTTACTCTCTTATTCTATGAAGAGCGAAGGTTGGCCCTAGCTGGTCAGCCTAAGGCTCCCCTTCTACACTTGTTACAGCCTTCCAAAGCAGAGGTTGCTAGTTCTGTGGTGGATACTCCAGGACACGCTTTGCTGAACACATGGGCAGCGATCAAAGCTGTGATCAAGTCTTGAGATCTGCAATAGAATGAGAAAACAGTACCGGAAGTGTGCATCATCCATGTTGGCCAGTAGTGATAGAAAGGAATGTTGTTTTCTTCGAATTTTATGTTTGGACCCAAGATTCTGATGAGACACAGGGTGCATGCATACACCCTGTCAGATGGGTGGGCTATCTGAAGGAATCAGTGGTCTATTTACAATTCTCCTGTTAGGTCGATTCTGTGTTTATTCCAAAGGTTTATTGTGATAATAAAATATAATTATATGATATTATAAGAAATTATTATTCTTTGGAAAAAGTTAAAATACTATACATTATAAATTGGTTACGGAGGTGCCAAGAAAAGCTTTAAAAACTGACTATATATTCCTTGTATACTTTCTAAGTGGGATTTTTTTTTCTTCTTAGCATAAATGATTGCAAACAGAAAGCATATTGATTCCTGAATTTCATATATTAAAAATGCAGTATTATCATAAAGAACAAAAGTATCCCCAACCCCCAGCCCAAGTTCATCAATCCCAGTAGACATTCTTAAGACAGAGGCGTTAGGGAGCAGATGAAATGGCCATGACTTGAAGCATTATAAAGAAACTGCTGGGTCCTTTTGGCTTAGCGCTTCCTTTTGTATGGCACTGACTATTTGGAGCCTGGATGTGTCACTGCATTAGCCCCTAGTAGACAGCTCAGCCACCACTTCCTTTGTTGAGGAGACTTGAATCAGGCAGGTAGTCTGGATATGTGCAAAAAGATAGGGACCTACTGTCTAGAATAAGATTTCTGCTTGTTGCCTTTCTGAACATAATCTAGACTACAGTTTCTGCTATTTGGACTCGAAGTGCAGACACTCTTCACGGATTGTGGCAAAGATTTCCTCTACTCCGTGTGTCTTACCTCATACCTTATCTTTCTAATACTGGGGGTGCAAGCTATTTCTTTACGATGCCTAGTACCAAACTTGGAGCACCTTTCATCCAGGAGGTCACTGAAGACGTCACATGGGATAAATGACGGACAGTACAGGCAGCTGACTTCCAGCTCTCCTGGGGTGGTGCGTGGTCCCCACCTCTCCTGTCACTGCCTCCTTTTGAAATGAGATGCTGCCTTTCTTACAACCTGAAGAGCATACAAACCTGACCTGTAAACTTCTCCTTTTAGGATCCACCTACTTCCGTTTCCCTCGGGCTGCGAATGGAGGAGATGATCTTTAACTTGGCAGACACACATCTGTTTTTCAATGACCTGGAAGTAAGTTCTAATTGTTTTGCATACACTTCATGGAGCATATCTGAAGATTAGTGATGGGTTCTGAAATAATGATTGGATGTTGCTCTTTTAAACATATAATTGGAATATTGAGACAAAGTGCTTATAAAGCAATGTGGTTCCCCTTTGTGGTATTTATTACATTTTAAAGTTGGATCCTACATGATTAAAATTTGATGACAAGATTCCTAAGTATCACGTGTGATTCTCAGAGGCTGCCTGTGCTGTCCCTACCCGTCCCTTCCGGTGCTTTTCTGTCCAATCTGATTGTTGGGAGCCGGTTTGCATCAGACCTTTAGTATTTGGGCTGCTAGGACTTCTCATCTCTTAACAGCAGCTGGTTTTATTGGGGGAAACATCCCTAAGATGGCTGGCTGACTATGAATGGACGGCGGCAGACACGATCTTAGCTGCATTCTTAACAAAGAAGGGCATTGTTCTCACCTATCTCCATTATGACAAAACAGGGCTCTCACTCCGCTGCCCTCCTCCTTCACAGGGACGGTTGTTTATTTAACTCTCACTGCTAAGCAAGCTTGTGGTAGAGCTGCCAACAGCCATTAATCATCAAGTTGTTGCTTTGCTAGGCTTTATAAACGTATGTTATTTCAGACAGGAGAAGAATCTCAGAGATTCAAATAGAACTTTTACTGATCAAAGTTAATTGGCAGCAATTGGCCTTTAAATATTTCCTGATGTTTCCCTTCTCAAAATCAAGTAAAATGCACCTTATTTAATGGAGGAGCCAAAATCACTTGAAAAATGCCAGTGTGTGACAGATCTTAAATGCGGTTTGCTCAACATCTGTCCTGTATTTTGATTTCTTTTCATCTGCAATGAAACAACTCGCAGGCGAATTGGCAGCTTCCAGTCCAATAAAATGATTTAAATGCACTTATTCCTCGGAGATATGGTTATTTTTATATGTAGAAGTAAAGTGCAGTTTTTATTTTTGCATTTTTAAGTGTTTGCTTTCCTCAAGGAAAAGACATGTAATGCATTATGTTTTTGTTTTTTTTTTAAATGGGGGAAATTCTCTCTGAGTGACAACTTCAGAATTACCCTTATAGAAGCTGCATAATCAATACTTATTTTCAAAACTTGTTTCTGATTTGTGGTTGCATTTTACTTTGTGAGAAGGCGACACAAAAATTCCATATTTTACTAGCCTGTTAAAATTCTTTACCCGGATTTCCATTTGTCCCGAAGGACACAGGCTAGGCTGATATTTTATGCTCAATGCACCCATGTCCATCTTATTGCTGTCCATCAGTGTTTGTAACATCCATCAAGATGTGACAAGCAATACTTTGCTGTGGATTGAAAATTCTGGCTTGTTGAAAATGTCAAAGACTGTGGCAAAGAGTGAGAAGAAAGTAATAATTTATGATATAATTTATTATGGTTTTTTTAAATAAAAGCTTCCAAACTTGACTTTGATTTGATGCAGGTTTTTTTTTTAATTTGTTCAATTTACATTATTTCCATTGAAATACAAAGAGAGACTGAAATGGCCCTCAAATACCTTAAAAGTGCATTCTAGAGATTCTAAGAATGTGGGTGATGAAAACATTTTAAATGGTCTTTGAAGCAATTGAAATGGCAGAATCTATTATTGCGTGCATGTTATTTCTTATTAGATGTAAAGAGCAAAAGAGAATGAATACATAATTCAACCACATACATAAAATGATAATGGAAGTATTTTTAGGGTCCAGACCTGATGCAAGTAGCTTTTATGTCATTTTACTCAAGAATAACATGAATGTAACCGCAAAAGTAGCTGTGAAAAATTCATTTCGCCTGCCTTTGGAAATTATTTTCTCTAGATTTGTGTAGCATTTTAAAATGAATTGGTTCTTACACTTTTGCAGACTTAACTTTTATAAGATTTTTAATTCAACAAACCTGGTATTGGTCACTGCAAACACACGTTTCTTTGACTATAAAGAGTAAAAAATAAGAAAACCAAAATTATCTTCTCAAGCAACAGTAATGGGCAAGTGCCAGATTTCACACACCCATTACAGTGTGTGTTGGCAAGTGACCCAGACATTTTAGTGCACTTAGACTACAGAATTTAGCTTTTGACCATCTGTGATACAAGGGATTTTAAGGAGTTTGACAATCTCTTGTTGGGCATGGAATATCATCCCTGAACTCAACTCTGGTTAGTGACATTTACCTTTGCTTCCTTCTAAGATCTTAGCCTTTGGACAGCTGCCCTCCACACATTCTGTTTACCTCATACTTGCTTAATAAGACAAAATGTGGGGGACATCCAGTGATGTGTGTTGTATCCTCAAAGAATGTGCATGCAGTGACTAGTAGGGTATGATTTTAAAGATTTAGAGTACAACTTTTAAAGGAATTCATAAGTATCATCATGAACTCTAAAGAATAAAGGAGATAGTAATCCTATTTAGTTTCTAAAGTCCTGCCATCTCAGTGGCTTTTTAATTTAAAATATTGAAATCCACATTAATCCCATTGATGCATCAGGAAAGTAAATTTAAAAGAAAAGGTTTTGTTTCTTTGTGTCATTAAATTGTGTGATGTGTTGAGGAACAAGAACGATAGGAAGACATCACTATCACGGGGTGTGATAATTTCCCTCGCCAAGACAGGCTGAAATATTAGGTACAAAGACACCTCTGGCACCCTGCTTCCCCGCCCCCCTCAACAGACGCCTCACATATCACTTTACAGAAAGTCCCTACTTGCAATCTGACGGTGCTTACATGGAAGGGTTTTTTTCTGAAAATGACACCATGAACCAGCATGTCATTCATCTTATTAAGAATGTATGACTTTCTAACTAAATACAGAAAAAAAGTTCTTTCTGTTGTAGTTGTACCCAAAAGCTCTCTGCAAACAGGGACAGCAATAACACTGGGGCCTAAGCCATGTCCTGCGGGCTCCCCTGCTGGAGCTCTCCACATTTAAAAGGTGAAGATGCTATGGCTAAATAGAAACTCGGCATTCAGTTTGCCTTGAGCTTTCTCTTAGTGCTGTGTAATACCCACTGTCATGGGGCTGTCAGACTAATGCATAGACTCAGTGTGGTGGCCCTCAGGAGTAGGCAGAAACTGTCTTCATGTGTGACCCATGGGGAGATGAAGGCTGGGAGGTCATGGACACCCTCCCCCATGTCTGTGGACACAGCATGTAAGGTCATTCCCCCAAGCTATTCATCTACGAAAGTTCCCTGGTACACTGTTTTGTTGGATGTCCGGGTTGAAATTTTTGTCAACCTGATATAAGCCATGGTTATCTAAGAAGAAGGAGCTTAACTGAGAAAATGCCTCCAGAAGATTGGCCCAAGGGCAAGTCTGTGGAACATTTTCTTGATTATGACTGATATGGGAGAGCTCAGCTCGCTGGAGGTGGTGCCATCCCTGCACAAGTGGTCCTGGGTTATCTAACAAAGCAGGCTGAGTAAGCCATGGGGAGCAAGCCAGTAAGCAGCACCCCTCCGTGGTCTCTGCCTTGAGTTCCTGCCATGACTTCCCTCAGTGATGGAGTGTGACCTGGGAGTTGTAAGTTGTAGGAAATAAACTCTTTCTCCCTCCAAGTTACTGTTGGTCATTGTGTTTATAACAGCAATAGAAACTTACCTAAGACAGATGTGACAGGCTGGTTGACTTTCTGTTGTATACATGCCTAGCACAAAAACTTTGACTCTTGTCTAGGTCAGTTTGTCTAGAGTCTGTTTTTTTTTTTTTTTTTTTAATACCTATACTTATAGCCCTTGCTGTCACCCTCTTTTTTAAATAAAAGAAAGCATAGAGGCTCTGGCCTCACTAGGGTCTGGGTTTGACACATCAAATGCCAATGTGAGGAACTTGTGGATAGTGTTAGGAAACACTAGAGGGTACCATGGAGATTTGTCTTGTAAAGAAATGTGTCTGCCTTGGTTTAACTCAGCTTTTAAATGTGGTGTAAGTTTTATTATTCTAAAACTCAGGTTAGGTAGCAATTATCATAATATATCTTATTTAGACATTTATTATTATCTGGAAAAAGATCTTTCTTCAAACTGTCAGTCATACCAGTGTTGAGTGATTTCAAATGATGCATGCTGTGCTGGTCTAGCATGTGCCTCCAAAAGCATGAAACACAGAAGCTGACTTTTTTGAGTTTGAGAAATATGATTCAACCTACAAAGTACTTTTTCCCCTATCAATAGAAGCTCTGGTGCTCAGCAACCAGCCTTGTGGATGCTGGGAGCCTTGGTTTTTAGTAGCCGGAGGAAAAGGGGCTTCTTAGGTACCCATGAGGAAGGCATGTAGAAAGGAGCCAAGCTAGTTTCTGTGGTTAGTCAGTCCACAAGCCCCAAGTAACTGTAGGAAAATGTGTGGGCAGGTCAAGTGTTACACCCCAAACTTGAAGGCCCCACACACTGCACACAAATACGTACGTACAACTTGTCATTTTCAGTTCTGTACATAGACTTTGGGATCTGCAGATAAATGTAAGGAACTACATTGTTTTAGCCCAGGTAAAATCCTTTATGATAGTCTTGTCCATGTTGATTATTAAAGTTTTGTTAGGTTGAATTCCTGTGTGTAGTCTTAGAATGAAGCACTGATTCTTGTTTCCTTCTCCAGTGAGATTAATTGGTCTAGTCCATGTCTCTAGTTAAGAGTAACATAAACACTCTCAGTTTAGGGGAGGATTTTATGTTTTGTAATCAACAAATGATTGTTAACACAATGAATTGTATTGAATTTGTTTTACTTATTTATAACTAATGGACAACAAGAAGCTTTTATGTTATCCATTATTCTTACTACAATATTATTGTTCTTTTTGTTTTGTTTTTGTTTTTCAAAACAGGGTTTCTTTGTGTAGCCTGTCCTGGAACTCACTCTGTAGACCAGGCTGGCCTTGAACTCACAGAGACCCACCTGCCTCTGCTGCGCAAGTGCGGGGATTAAAGGCGTGTGCCACCACTGCCAAGCATTATTTTATTGTTCTTG